CTTCCCTGGCCGCGGCCACCCGTGTCCCGCGAGAGGTTATTTTTAGCGGCGGGGAGGGTGGGCGCGGGCTTCCATCATGGCGCTGTCTCGCGGCCCGGACTTCCACCCCATCATTACGGGGAGGGGAGTGGGAAGCGGCGATGGCGTTTTATCTTCCTCCTGGCGGCTGTGCGGTGCCAGGGCCGAAAGGTGCAGGGGCTGCGCGCGCCAGGCTCAGCGCACCTCCCACCCTGCGGAGCCGAGGGAGGGGGCTCGGACCCTGCGCCCCTCCCTCTTTTGTTCAGCTCCGCATCCCCCCGTCACGCCATCCTCTGGCACATCCCGTAGGGGGAGGGGGCTGCACGCCCGCGGGGAGAGGGACCCGAGGCTCCAGCCCCGCCCCGCCATGTGGGGCTCCCCCCTTATTGTCCCCAGAGGCTGGGGGGAGGGGGCTGCCTGGCCCAGGCCGGCCCCGCCCCACCCGTGGCGACGCAGGAAGCCTCGGGGGCGCCTCAGCCATACCCCCGTGGATCTGGACCTGGCGGCGACCATCCCCAAGCCACAAAGAACCTCAGCAGGGCGGGGCGGGGCGGGGGCGCTTACCGTGATGTGCGGAATGCTCTTCTTGCCCTGGTAAGACATGGCCCCTCCGGCGCCCTCGGCCTGGCCGCTGGACCTCCCGGCTATCTGACGCTCTGTCGGGCTCTTTCTCGGCCCCGCTACCCGCGGGCGCAGTGACAAAGGCCCGGGAGGGATGGAGAGAGGGACGGAGGCTCGGCGCCCGCGGATGCCCAAGCGCGGCTGTCCGGCTGCTCGGCCCGCCGCCGCCGCCGCCGCTCCCGCTGCCAACACCGCCCGGCTCGGCGAGGAGGGCGGGAGGAGGAGGAGAGGCAGGGCGGGAGGAGGGGGCTGCAGACAGACAGCTCCTCCCGGCGGCGGGAGCCGAGCCCGATTCGCCCCTCTCGGCTCGAACCAGGAAGCGCTTCCCTTCCGATCCCCCTACTCCGCCCCCGCCCCCACCCGCCCAGCCCCGCCGACCCCCGCCCCGCACGCACGCCCTCGGCTGCGCCCCAGCCTCGCTCTCGAGAATGGGAGGGTCTGGTTTTCAAGGTTCTTTTTAAGGCAAGAAACGGTCCTCCATGCACAGGCAGAGCCCGCGGGCAGCGCCACAGGTGTGTGGCCCTGCATCTAGGGGTCTTGCCTGATCCTGTGTACAGGGAGGAAGCCGTGGGATAGGTGCCAGGACCCTCCCAAGCTCCAAGGAGCGTTCCTGGCCGCCAGGATCGCGCCCAATGACCGCCCCCCTCCGGCCACTCCTTTCCGCAGCCTCTGTGAGTCCACCCTGCGCCACAGGCTAAATGGACCTAGCCCTTTTCCATCTTCAACTACAAGGCTCTACTAAAGCTATACCCTGTATATCCCCACCCTAGACAAAAGGCTACTCGTTTTCCCACCCCTTTCCAATGCATTCTGCCTAAAAGAACCTACCCTCACCATTCCCATCACTAAATCAGCTTTCCCTGAAGGCCCCTAAGGCCACCCAGATGTAGCCACAGAAGAGAGACAAGGCCACAATTCATGGCTGACCTGCTGAAGGACAACAGCAACAGCTCTCTCAATACATAGAAGCCTGGTTTGGGGGCCACGGGGTCACCCCCAGACAGTGAGTGCTTGAAAGGTTAGGCCATTGCACTAAGTTTTCCATAGCTCCTGGGGACAGGTTGGGGACAGGAGGAGAAATAGGATGCTCCTGCCTCTCAGTTGAGTGTTCAGCAGCCCAGGGGCCCGGGATCCAGATGTTGCTCAGGGGGAGGTGGGCAGGAAGCTAGGACATAACTTGATGAACATCATAATAAAGGAGAAAAGATGGAGGAGGAAACAAAAGGGAGACTCAGCAAGCCCTTCCTGCATTGGAAGGTTTGTGCCCCACACCACCAGGCAGGACAAAGCACCAACCTTCCTGCCACTTCTGCTAATTTTCTGCCTGCAAAACCCAAACAGGCCCTGGAAGACACATCTTCTCTACTTTCCAGTTGCCACCCAGGGAGAGGTAGGCTAGGTTTGGTAAAGACTCTCAGTTTGGGGGCTTTTGCTGGGGCCTGGAGTCTTGATCTCCACACCATGGAGGTCAATTCCCTAGTCCAGTTCCTGGGTCCACAGCAGGAGATCAGAGATTGGGCCTTAAAATGGGGGTGGGGCCCTAGGTTCACAGAGGAGAACAGAAGTATTCCAAGAACACAGCCCAAGATTTTCCCATTTCATAAATGGGAATTGAGGCTTAAGGGATAAAGCTAGCAAAGGTCTCTAAGGTCAAGGGCATTAAAACATGGTGTAGTCAAAATTGAACCCAGGCTGTTAACTGGAGTTTTATCATTGTTGAGTTTGAGGAACTGTAGTTTTACTTTCTTATGCTACATTCAGAGTATTAGATGCACTGAGTATCTATCTATCATATCTGGGTAAGTATTTCTTGTAGGAAGAAGCAAGTGAAAAAACTGGGTTTTAGTAACATTACAGAATACAAAATTATAAATAGGGTGAAATTCAACTCTACTAGGAAGGAATTCTACAGGAGGATATGAATCTCTAAATCTTAAATAATTCTTAAATAATCTCATGTGCGATGGTAAAATTGAGGCTCCAGGGATACTCAGATGTGCCCCAGGTCCAGGTGCAACGCATTCGCTGCAGAGCTGGGTCTGAAAGCCAGGCTTCTGCACACCAGGTCTAGGTGTCCCTGCGCTGCTGCCGCAGCCTGGGTCTGAGCTAGGTTCTAAGTTCTCGCTAATGACCCGAAACTGCGGGTGGGGGCCGCCTCCCTTCCTCAGATTCCAGTGTTTCCTTCCTCAGCGCTAAGTCCTAGGTTCTGGCACCGGACATTCGGTAGGGTCATTCTGGAGATCAGAGTAGGAAAGCCGCGGAGATGGGGACAGGACCACGTGCGAATTAGGGGGCGGAGCCCCTGCTCCAGGCTGGCCAAACAGATGCTGCTCCTAAGCAGACTTCGCGGGTACCAAGCGCCGCAGCCACTCAGCCTCTAGCAGAGGAAAAAGTTGCGCCTGCGCCACGGAAACCCCACCTCCCTCCCAGGAAAGCGCCGGTGGGCGGGGGAGGGGTCCCAGCACCGGCTGCAAAGCGCAGAAGCAACGAGGCCCGCCCCGGAACCCCGGCCTTCAGTAACCCAAGCCCGGCGGTCGCCGTTTCCGCAGGAATTAAAATGCGCCCCCGAGGGAGACAGGACTCCCTCCACTACTCAGACCCGACCCTCTAGTGCTTTTAGAGCCCTTCTGTCCGGTTCCCAAAAACTAGGAGAAAGGGCAAAGGGGACTGGAGCGGAGGGGGGGAGAAACTGGGAGAAGTGAGGAGACCTGAGTCCCCAGTCGCCAGGGCGCGGCGGCCCCGCGGCCTGGGCAGAACCCAGGCTTACTGGTGTGGCGCCTGCGGACAGCTCCCGGCAGAGCACAAAGCGCCCTCGCCTCCCCGGAGGGAGCTGAGAGAGGCGGCCACCCGCCTCTCCCAGAAGGAGGCGCCCAGGTTAAAGAGGGCCAAGTTCTCCGGCTAGTTCCCTCGCGCTGGCCCCGGCTTCCCTGTCTCCGGGTGGAGTGGAGAGCCTGCATCCCAAGCAAGGTCGGCCCGCAGGGCAAGATAAAGACGGGTGGGGAGGAGGAGACGGGACTCTCGACGTCTCCCTCCCTCACCCCACCCCCCACACTCTCTCGCTTAGACCTTCGCCGCGGAGGCCCCGGATTCAGGACCGCGGAGAGCTCTCAAGCTAATGAATGGGCGGTCCCACAGGGATGTGGACCAGAGCGACACCAGCCACAGGCCGGCCCCGCTCTAATTACTCCAGGAAGCCCCCCCAGATTGCCGTCCGGATCACTCTCTGCCTCTGAGTTCCCTTTATGCCTCTCATAGCGCTGGAAGGGGCAGGGTTAGTTAAAATAATAATAAAACTCCACAAACACTTCACATATACACATTCACTATCTGTGGCATTGATTGATCTAATTCTCACGATAAACCTGTCACTCAAGCCAGCCTGGGAACTTCTGGAGGGTGGGGCCGGTTGCTGAGCTGGGAACCCAGCAGATTCAGGCACTGAGTTCTGTCTGGACCAAGCCGACAGCTGGGGGATCTTTCTTCTGATTTCCAGGCGCTGGATCTAAGCCTCATCCGTCCACCCATCCCAAGGGCTGTGCGGTCCACACACCCATCTTCCCCCAGTTCCCTGGCAGCTTCCCACTTAGGGGAGAAGACCACAGTGCCCAAGCCCTGGCCTTCCTCCTCCCCGGTGCCCCCACCCCATTTTCAGAGGGACAATAACCTCCAAGCCAGGGAGGACACTGACTCCAGTTCAAAAGCCAGCTCTGTCCCCCTAACCTGCCCTGTGAGGGGGACACAGCAGCCTTGTGCCGCGGGACTCCCTGGTATCCCTTGAAGGCAGCGGCTGCTGCGGGAAGGATTTTCCAGTTCTAACTACCCGACGATCTTAGACCTTAACTAAACCCTCACCCAAGAAACCAGGAGGGAAGCACTCGCGAAGGCCCTTTCCCGTTGAGGCCATGTGGCCAGAGCGATTCGCGTAACCTCCCCGGGTGCAGGGGCACAGTAAGTGTTCCGCAATTACTGAGTGAGCAAATATATGGATGGAAGAACACGGAAGGGCGCTTTCCTCCTCTGCACAGAACACGGAGGAAGAGCTCTGGGTTAACTCATCCCAGAGGTTCCTTTGCGACTCAAGTGTCCATGCGGCTGCTTTACCTAACTTACTTCTCCTCTCAGAACGTCGCCTTTCCTTTCAGCAGAAGAGGAGCCTGGACGGCCCTCGGAGGTCCCTTAGGAGTCTCACGGACTATGCTGGCCAACCCGGGACGAGTCGCACAACCTCTCTGAACCTCCTGTATGATGAGGTGGGGGAGGGGCCGTTCCGTAGCTTTTCCAAGCCTGGTGGCAGCGGCCCCAGCCCAGGGTCCCCGAGGGCCCCGCCCCCCACGTCCGGTCCACGCGCTCCCCGAGGGTACCTGGCTATTGTCCCGGCCGAGTGGCAGGTCGCGGGGCGCAGGGCAACGAATGCTCAAGGCTGGCGGTCGCTCGTCGCGCTCGCCTGGTGAGCTGACGGCCGAGCCCGAGGGCTCGCTCACGTCGCTGGCCGTGTCCTCGCTGCCGCCTGGCCCCGGCAGGCCGACCGCGTCGGGCCGGCCAGCACTGCGCGGCGTGCGAGCCGAGCCGCGGCGGCCCACGCTGTACGCGTCGAAGTCGATGGTCTTGTTCTCGTAGGCGCCCTCCACGGCCGCGAACATGCCGCCGTACTTCTGGCGCGGGGTCTGCGCCGCGCTGCCCGGCCGCGCCAGGTACACGGGCAGGTCATCCTCCGTGTTCCACGCGCGCCGCCGGTCCGCCATACCCGTCCAAGGCTGGCCGCCCGCCGCCCGCGGCCCGAGCCTCCTGCGTGCGCCTCGCTCCGCGCCTCGGTGCGGGCCCGCGGCTGCCCAGGCGCGACTGCAGCCCGGGGAGGGCGGGGCGCGCGGGGCGGGGCGCGCGGCGGGGCGGGGCCGGGGCGGGCCGGGGCGGGGTCTCCAGGCGGCTGCAGGCAGCTCAACCACCAGCTACAAAGGACCGGGGGGCGGGGACCGCGGCTGGGGCGTGCCAGGATGGTGACGTGCAGGAGCCGCAGCACAGAGGGCGGGCGGCCGAACCGCAGTGCCCTCGACGCACCCCCACTCCCCGCCCCCAGGCGGAGCGCAGGGCGCGAGCGGAAGGAGGGGTGTAGAGCATGCACACACACACACACACACACACACACACACACACACTCTAGAGGCACACATAGGTTCTTACCCGCACACCAGACAATTACACCACATTACCACAAACACGTGAGAGATGTACAACATGCTGGTACACACAAGTCAATTTTACGCACGCTCCGTCCCAGACACCCAGGCTCGTTCCCGCACACCGTAGACAATTTTGCACACATATACACATATATGATTGGACACAATCCAAGCATTCTCTCTCTCTCTCTCTCTCTCTCTCTCTCTCTCTCTCACACACACACACACACACACACACACACATCCACATTCTCTCTCTCTCTCTCTCTCTCTCTCTCTCACACACACACACACACACATCCAGAAATAATTCTTATTGTCAAATAACCCTATGTATCCGCCGCATAGTACTGAAATTAATTGCCCAGCCCAGGAGACACACGTTGGACACACCATTCATCCACTCAGCACTACTGTACTGATTGCCTGATAACACCTGGCACTGACATGGGCTCTGGGGACAGGGCCAACAAAAGCCCCTGCCCACTGGGAGCTGACCTTCTAAGGAGGATGTACCCTGCAGTGGTAAGGGCAGAGGATGGTACCACGGGGCAAGAGGGACAGGCCAGTAGCTCACTCCTGCAGACAGCAGGACAAAGACCTTCTCACACCTAAGCCAATGACTCATGCTGGGACAGGATGCACACTCCAGTGACATAGTATGACAAAGAGATTTTCCACCAGTACCAAAGGCCAAGGCGACTCCACACGTGGCTCAGACTCCCGGCAGAACGCCCACACACATCCACACCAGAAATAAGTCGGAAGCTTAAATAGAAACACTCTAGAGAGGAACACACAAAGAAATAGATCACCACACACATGCACCTGCTGTCACCCAAGCAGTCAAACACCCCCATCCAGGAGCACCTCCCGCCGTTTTATGGTACAGTCACCCTTGCTGTGCCTGGAACTTGCAGCCTGAGGTCCCTGGGTTCCTCTAACTTGGGCCATGGAGGGAATGGGGATGTGGGGTGTACTCTGCTGGGTGTCCCCTGGCCTTTCTCGGGGGCCAGGCCATGTGTGCTTCCTCTAGGCAGGTTCCCTCATGTCTGCATGATTTTCAAGCCAGGGATCATGAGTAGTCCCAGCAGAGACCCAGCTGCACTTCCTGAATGGAGAATCGACAGCTGCCCACCCCTTCACAGCAAGTCCAGACATGCAGAGTTGAAGACAGAGTGGGGACTGCCGTGATGACAGCATCCCCTCCAGAGTCCTTGCTTCCTTCTGTGCTGGGAGCTGTCCTTTCAGCACCAAGCCAGAGGGGTTCACGGGTTGTTTCTGTGACTGTTGAGACCTATGGCGACTTTGGGTCCATAGCCTCAGTTGACACCCCCCGCATTTACAGTTTCAACCCCAGAACAAGCCGATCTGGGCTGCAAGTGATACCTTTCACTGCCCATGTGTCAGGAGAGATGCAGGGAGAAGCAGATGCTGAGCCAGGCCTGGACGCCAGACTCATCCACTATGTGAGTATTTAGCAAATGTTTTTTTTTTTTTCTTTTTAAACTTTTTTATTATTTATTTATGTATTTATTGGAGGTATTTAGGATCAAACTCAGGGCCTTGTGCATGCTAGGCAAGTGCTCTGCTGCTGAACTACAACCCCATCCCTACAAGTCTCTTTCTGTATTTGAGAGAGACTAATACTGGGAACACAGGTGAGTATCTAGAAAGCCCCTGCCTTCAAGAGGTGCATAATCCGTGGTTGAGTGCCAAGCACAAACAAGAACAGTGGTCCGCTGATCCACCATCTTATCCCCCACTCACCCACGTCCTGGATCCTCCCTCCTCTTGTCCTGATGCCCTGTTCAGATCTGTGCGGCAGATACTCTCCTCAAGGTCAAAGGACTCCACGCTGTATTGCAGGTGTTACCAAAAGTTGGTTGAAAACCTCTCTGCCCTGTGAAATATTATTCCCAGCACATCTCAGGCAAGGAAAATGCATGTTAAAGACCACATAGAAACTTCTAGAGCTCCACAACTTCTCAGGGATGAAGTCCACAGAAATATCAAAGAATCTAGGAATCTGAGTTAGATGGGCCTTGTGAGTTCAGTCCTACTCACACCTGAGTCTGCCCTCAACAGCTTAAGGAAATGGTGTCTTGGGCTTTACCCATGGCAACAGGATTCCACTGCTTTTAAGAGCACTCTTTCTGTTGTGAGAAAGGGCTCAGTTTCAAGACCAGAGGGATATAAGCAGGGAGGTGGCAAGAAAGCACAATAATGGTTCCCACTTTAGAGAGGTCCTCACATGCCAGGGGCAGGGGCAGGCACTGCACCCAGGGCAATTCTCCTGTACCTCACAGCACCCTCTGAGTTTTACAGCCTCACTTTACAGATGAGGAAACTGAGGCTCAGAGAGATCAATAACTTGCCTCTGGTCAAGCGAGACTTCTGGGATTTGGACAGTGCAGTCACGCCCGAGTCTGTGTTCACTTTTTCCTCTCCCTAAGAAGCCTGACAGGGAGGGGAGCATGGAGGTGCTGAGGTCAGAAGGGTCTGGATTTGGGGGTTAGACTCTTGGCCTCTGTGCCACCTTGGGCAACTAATCATCCAAAACCTACATTTAGGGCCCCACTGTGTGTTGCAGGCTCTGTCACTCTCCATCAGGGCGACCCGCCCCTGCAGGGGGGCCTGGCTTCCTGGACTGCCCCCCTATACAAGGGTTTTGCAAACATCGGGTGTTTCACACTTCATGTTCTGCTTTACACACCATTGGCTCCTTCAGCTGCCTCCTGTGGCACACCATGCCACCTCCACCTTCAGGCTGGGACACGACGGGTGACAAACCTTAAACCCATGGCTCAGGAAGGGACCCAGCTGGGGCTCCAACTCTGGCGTGTTGGACTCCTTTGCACAGCCTCTCCTGATCCCAAAGCCAGGAACCCAAGCATGGCGGGGAGAGGGGCAGAGCCAGGGCGGCAGCTAGGAAAGGCACCCCCAGCCAGAGATCCCTAGAGGAAGCACCACCCGGTGACAGCCATGGCCGCCCCATCCTGTCCAGCTGGTGCTCCAGGGATGAATGACACCATGATATTTGAGGAGAGGCCAATCTGAGCTCATCTCCTCAGACCGAAGAGCCTTCCAGGGACCATGAGTAGTCCCAGAAGAGACAGGGACGTGTCAGGCAACAGCAGGAAGAGGACGAGAGGCCAGTTCAGCTCCATGGTGCACTTGGTGTAGGCATACAAAACACAAAAGAGGTCTTTAAAAAAAAAGCCTAAGTTGTAAAAAGAATATGTGCAGAAAACTAAGAAAAGAGAATGTATTTGTGACCAGCTATATACTGCTGTTAGTGAGTCTGCCAAGCAAGTCATGAATTACCGTGTGCATTTTAGATGTAAGGAAAGAAGTTCAGAGAACTTAAGCAAGCTGCCTAAGGTTGCATGGCGATGAGTGAGAGAAATCCAGGCAGCTTGATTCTAGAAGGTCTGCTTTTTATGTTGCTTTCAAATCAGTACGCCAGGGATTGTGGTCAGCTAAATAACAGCCCTCCAAGATGGCCACCTCATCCCTGGAACCCGTGTGTATTAATTCACATGGCAAGTGGGAACGTTTTGTGTGCTTTAATAAGAACTCAGGGCGGGGAGATTATCCTGGATTATATGGATGGAGCCGAGGGAGAGACGGGCTCTGTTAACACGGGAGAGGGAGCAAGCAGAGCGGCATGAGAAGATGCTCCCGCAAAGGTCGGAGTTAGAGAGTCGAAGAAGCTACACTGCTGGCTCTGAGGATGGAGGAAGGGGCTGCCAGGCGGAGCTGGGAGGGCGAGGATGTGGGTTCCCCCTGGAGCCTCCCCAAGGAACAGGGCCCCACCAACCCCTGACTTAGCCTGGCGAGACCCATTTCAGACTTGTGACCTCAACTGTGAGATGATGGGTGAGTGTTGCTTTTAGGCATTAGGTGGATGGATGGCATCTGTCAGGGCAGCAAGGAAATTAATGCAGGGATGTGACGGATCCTGCAGGGAATCCCCTCACGGTCTGTGCAAAGTGGATTCCCCTAGAGAGAAGATACTGCATTCCCTGCCAAGACCAAGAGAGTCCTGGATCCGTTGCCTCTTTGTGTCGCGTCAGGGCTCCCAACACTGTGGGAACCATTCATCCATCAAACATTCAAAAGGAAAAAAAAAAAAAAACTCTGTGAAAAGCATACATTTTAATGTACAAAATTACACAAAGTATACATTTAACTAACATAGAAAAATACATCTGGGTAACAAGGGGAAATCCTGGCCTGGTTCACACAAGATGGAGCAATTGTTACAAATCTTGAAAACCTGGAAGGGAGAGATGAGCCCAAGTCCCAGGGATCAGGAATCTGAGAAGCAGCTCCTGGTGGCTGGCTCTGTCACATCCCTGCTGGCAGACATGACGGGACACCCACTGGCCCAGCACCAGAGGAGGGTCCTGCTGAAGAGCATCCAAAAGGAAGGGGGTCTGCTCCTGGTGCTGGACCACCCGGTGAGCAGCACATCCCACCGTGGGGGGCTTATCCCGCCGTCGTCTAGGAGTCCTTGCCTGTCCACGCAGCCACAAGGGGTGGACTTTCTGTGCATTTTGGATCCAGTGTAAAAACACACACTTTCCAAACCGATGTTGTGCTTCACAGATTTCCTGGGATCTCTGCCCAGGATTCAACTAGGAAAGAGTAAGGAGGCCCTGGAGGATCTGCCAAAATGAACCCACAAATCTTACTCATAATCTCTGCCAGTGATCCACTGGCTCTTCCCTGCCTGACCATCAAAAAGCAGGCGGTGAAAACCTGCGCTGTGGAAGAGATGGACGCGGTCCCCAGCTCAGGGTGGTGGTAGATGCTCCAGCATCCCTCTGAGAGGCATCTGCAGAGCCTGCTGTCACGGGGAAGAGGCAGGGCTCCTGGTGTCCTCTAACATGCTCTGAGTGCATAAAAACCATGCGCTCCCCCCAGGATCCCACACCCCCCGGCCCTGTTCCTGAGAAAAGCTGGGGACACAAGCACCACGCCCAAGCCTGCATGGCTGCTTGGCACATCCAGAGTTCAAACCCAGAGTACCTCTCCAGAGCTCACCCCTCCTCTGTTAGGGGCAGACTTTGCCCTTGTCCCCATGAGAAGTCTAGGTTAATAGCTGTCACATCACTGGACAGACAGCATTCTCCCCATCACTTCAGTGTCCTGCTTACAAACACTGCATCGTAGCACGTTCAAACACATTGACACAGAGTTGAAATAAAGTCTTCAGCTACTTTAACAATCTCAGTCATTTGTCTTTCCTTCCCTTTTTCTACCATCAGATAGAGGTGCTATCGGTCTGTGCCTTATCACAGCCATGGCCACGGTGTCAGTTCATGACTCTTCACTGCACGGACACCAGGCATGGAGCGGTCATGGGAAAGATCAAATGGGATAAAAGGAAATGCAATTCTCCACCCCAGCTCTGCGGGCTTATTGAAAGCAGTTTTAGGTCCTGCGTATGGATTCTCTTCCTCTAGAAATTCTCCTGACACAGGGAAGAGGACTAAATATATCAGCAAACCCCAGGGGTTTCCTTTCTCATTTTTCCTTAAGGCACCAGAGAATTTCAAAGAGTTTATTTCAAAACTAAGAAGGAATAAAGTTGGCCGCTGGTACGCAGGCTGAATGGAGACCTAGTCCTGTTTGCTTATACCATTGATATAACCGCTCACTAAATCCAGGTCTGAAGAGTTTAGGGTGCAGGCAGCTACCCCCAGGAGGCTCTCTTGGTGTCTCTATCACAACATCAGCTGCAGTGTCTGGGCTTTATCTGGATTTCCAGATATTGTGCAGTGACCAGCCATCCAGAGCCCAGCACCAGAGCTGCCCTGTGGAGCCAAGTACCACCACGTGTCCTGAAATCCATTTCCATAGGGATTATCCTCAGCTTAAAAGGCCCTCTAAGGGCACAGTCACAAAGCCGACTCACGGCCAGAAATACTCCAAAGATGAGAAACTTCTCCCGCCAACTCTGAGAACACATTTTATCCCCAGCGAGGAGTAAAAATGAACAAGAGTCTAACACCAGAGAAACCCGCAGTGGCATCTCGGAATTTAATTAGCCAAGAGGATGGGAGAATTGCAACGGACTGTGGGGCCATAGTCTGATGGTTCTGTCCCTGGTGTGTGTTAGACTCACCAGGGAGCTCTTGGAAGGTGCCCTGCCCGGGGCCCAGGCGAGACTTCTGATGCAAGCAGCCTGGGTGAGGGCCTGGATCTTTAGAAAAGCTTACAGGCCAGGCCAGTGTGCAGGAGTCACAGGGAGTCTCCACTGCAGGTCTTCACATCCGACCAATGGCCTGGGGGACGAGTGGCAGAGCTCTCAAGACACCTCCCACCTCCTTGCCCCAGAACAGCGCAATCTCAACTCAGAAAAGAAAGTTGACGGTCTAAAAGATGTCAGAATTGTCTAGCACCCCATTCTCAGAAGTCGACTGAGTTCTCAAAAAGTTTCACTTTCCAGACCTGGAATCTCAGCCTGGATTCAACTGGGAGCTGTGGATTTCTTAAAAGAAACTCAGCGGCCAGAGGGAGAAAAGACCCCCTCAAGTTTCTAAAGTTTGTTCAATAAATTGCTGAGTGAAACCAACAAAAATGAGCTATCCGTTGAGAGGATTTGGGCTCCCCACCCTCTTCAATGAAGGCTGACCAGACTCCGAAATGATCTCATCACAAAGTGATTCACGGAGTTCCATCCGCTTTCTGGAGATTCTCACAGGGAGGAACTAGACAGGGCAGGTCATGGAGGGTGAAGCCGAACCCCAGTCACAAAGTCTACCCAAGAAGCAGGTGCGTTTCCAAGGTACCGTGGAGCTCAGGGCTTCCCCGGGGGAGGAACATGCTCATGGATTTGACACCCAGGGAAAGAGTTCCTGGCACTAATACGTGTTGCCAGGTGGGGCCACGCAGACTGTGACCTGCTATGAAATGAATTGCATGGTGGCATTCTGAACCTGAGGGACCTGCATGGTGGCCCGGCTGGGAATCCTCTGTAAAGACTCCAAATCAACCTGGAGGTGCCCCTGAACCCCACTGGCTTTGGTTTCCTCCCTGTAGAATGAGGAAAGGTGGACATTGATCCTAAAGTCTAAGGCCTTGCCAGCGCCCACAGAGGGTGCTTCTGGACCTGTTAGCTCAGTGCCTACTCTGCTGGCCTGCTGGGCAAGGGCAAGGAGTGACCCCCCAAGCACATGGCCCAGTCAGTCCACAGAGCCATCTGCCCACGCTGCCTCGCTCCCGGCTGCCACCGCACCTTCAGCGTACCTATTTTAAGCACACTGCCTAGTGGTTCATGGGGAACGTTACCATGCCAACTGGCTGGCTGTTGCTAATCATAATCTATGAATGTGCAGTACAACCATCTGACAAGCAAGTCTTTTCTCCCTTTGCCTGGGGACTTTTTCCAAATTGTCCTAAGACAGATCATCACCATGCTCATAACGGCACACAGTAGGTGCCTAATAAGTTTGCACTGAATTGAGGACCTGACTGGTCTGACAGGCGCTTCTCTGCCCAGCGTGTCCACTGTTTCCACAGCACGTGCAGAAGCAGCTATTTCACTACCCCCATTTGCCAGACGAGGAAACAGGGGAGGGGAAGTTCCTTCCCCTGGCCTCAGGGTTAGTAAGTTGCAGAACTCAGATGGCAGCCTGGTCCCTCTGGTTTAAACCCTAATGGTCTTCTCCTCAGCCAGGTGCTATCTGTCCTCCGTGGAGCATGTGGACAGTCACAAGCACCTATCCTGTATGTTTATGAGACACAAAATTCTTTCCCATCTACCTTTCCATTTCATTCATTCAAAGAGGGGGTCTCTGCCAGGGTCCCCCATGTGCAGTGGCATGGACTACTCACCCCATGGGGCCCTCTCTGGAAAGGACAGAAGTAACAGTAACAGCGTGAGTGGCAGAAAGACCAGTGGTAGGCGATGGCTGGGGCCTTAGGGGGAGCTTTCCATCTGGGGCTGGTGAAGCAGCAGGCGCGGCCCAGAACAGAGGGTGCCCCTATCCCCCAGCAACAAACCCAAGGGTAAAGCCAGGCCCTGCACAAAGCCAGCTCAGGGGGCACTTACCAAGTGCTCAGCACCGCTGACCTGTTGACCAATGGGAACTCCGCTGCAGTAGGGTGGGGACTTGGAGCGCTTTGCCCTCTCCTATGACTCCAGGGCCTACTGCCGCGCCTGGCACCTGGGCTTGTTGGTTAAGTGAAGGGATGAAACCTGTTAAGCGGCCAACCCTTACCCCAAGAACCTGTGGAGTGTGCTGGGGGCAGGGGGCACTAGAAGACAGATTTCTCTCATTTCTTTTTTTAACATTTGGAAAAACGTGACATTCTTTTAACCTAGGTGGCAGATTTCTGCTTGGGAAGGGAAGAAAGGGACCCAGGTTTTATTGAGCATATACTAAGTGTAGGAACCTGACATTTCTCATTTCTCCTGGTGCTGGCGAGGAGAGTGATATGGCCCCCCACTTACCAAGAGAGGACTTTGCAGATCAGACAGGGGGCTAGGCCTGCTCAGGGTGGGTTTGGAAATCATGCTCACAATTCCTAAAGCCAGGTTGTTCCCACAATGTCATGTATCTTGCCAGGAAGGAGATCTGGAGCCTTAGACAGGCCCCACTTGTTAGAAAGGAGCAGTTGTGAAGCACCTGCTGGTGCCCGCTCCCACACACTAGGTCACCTGACGCGACCTGTGCTCTTATTCGTGCTTCCCGATGCCCAGCCTGGTCTCTCTCCCTCTCCCCGCCCCCTCCTTGGGATCACACCCAGAGCCTCCTGCTAGGAGGTGCCCCACAGCCAGCCCCCGCCCAGGCTCACAGTCAACGTGTGCCCGTCTTCCATCTTCAACCCGAGGCTGTAGAGGGGCTGCGTTCCTCTCCGTCCTCCACAGCAGGGACCAAGGCTCAGAACCATTAAGGGCTCTGCCCAGGTCGCTGGACAGGTGGCAGCAGAGCTGAGGGTCCAGCCCAGGCACTGCAATTCCGGTCCAGGACCACCCCTGGGGGATGCAGTTTCTGCCTGCCCACCTGCGGGACGGGCCAGGCCACTGTCCCTCTCTGTGCCTCTGGATTCTCACCCACAATACAAAGGTGACAGCAGGTGGAGACTTGTAGCTCGTGGTGAGTTGAGGAGAAGGCATGGGGGACCCTGAGGCCCGCTGGGCCAAGTGCTGGTCGGGGAGCGGGGTGCTGACCTCAGGTAGCCATGACCGTGGCCAGGAAGGTCGGGTTCAAAGTCACCAGGGCTACCAACTGTCCAAGGCAGCCAGACATCCAGATTATATAAGAAATCTCCTGGCTCTTAAAGGTCACTTGCTCATTATAATTTTAGAAACGTCCCCAGCAGCTTCCTTCACGATGGCCGTGAGGTGGAGGCCAGCCAGCTGTGCTGGGTGGTGAGGGAATGGATCACGCGTGGTGCATCCCTGGGGCGGGACACTACTCAGCCTTGAGCAGGAAGCATGCGCTGAGCCGGGCGTCACCACGAGCTGACCTGCACACGTCCTGCACATGCACTGAGCCAGTCACCAAAGGACAAGTACCATGGGATTCCAGTTGCTGGAGGTCCCTGGAGACAGGTCAGAGTGGTGTGGCTGGAGTCTGGGGAGGGGACAGGGAGCTAGTGACGGTGCTTCAGTTTGGGAAGTTTCTGATGTGGTGGGGGTGACAGGGGCACAATGAATGTGCTCAAGGCCCCTGAACCGGACTCAAGATGCCTCGTTAAGATGGTTTAAGACGGTGAGTTTCAGGCTGTGCTCACTTCACTATAACCAGCCCACCCAACAAACGGAAAGGCGTAAACCAAACAAAACAGGCTGTGTGCCTGCTGCGCTGAGAAGCGCAAGGTCTGTCACTCGCCCTCACTGACCACTACCCCCAGTTCTGCTGCCACCCAAGACACTAGTGCTGGCCCCAACCCCAGGCTGCCTCCTGCCATGGACTCCTGTCTCACAGCAGCAGCGACCAGGAAATAAGTGGCTTGGGCCTCAACAGGCAGTGGCTTTTCTTTGCATCTTCCAGGTGGTACTTAGAGGTCACCTGTCCCCAGTCGCCACCCCCACTTCCCAGCTGTCCACGTAAGCTGGCCTCACAGTCATGAAGCTCACAGGGAAAGTCACCTGAGGGAGAGGGCAGCCTTGGTCAGAGCTCAACTCCTGGGCAGTGACGCCCTTGCTGGGTGGAAACTGCTGGAACCGGGGTGCCGTGCTTGGGGTCCTTTGGCGTGGGGTGGGTATTTGGGGATGTAAGTTATAAGTGGACGTAAGTTGCTTGAAGTGACACGTGTGTGGAAAGGAAGAGCTCGCCCTTCTTCCCAGAGCAGGGAGGCTGGTCTGGGGCCTCCCCACCAGCCAGTGCCTGCTGCGCAGTGGGAACCCAGCAACGTGCGCGTGACACCGGGAGGGTTGCAGCAGGCGTCAGAGCTACAGGGGGCCCAGGGGGCTGTGGTCACACCCACTGTACAGATGAGGAAGTGAGGCCCGTGGAGGCCAAGGGGCGGCCTGAAGTCACCAGCAAGTTAGAGACAGAGTTGGTGTCTGGCTCCCCACCAGGGCCCTTTCTCCCGGACCAGGGGCGCCTGACCACTGGGGTCCAGTCTCCTCTGAGACTCTGCGGAGACCCAGGGCCTCTCCCTCGAAGTCTCTGCACAGTTAGGTCCTCAGCTCAGCTGAGCCTCTGCAGGAAACGTCAGTGTCAATGTGATCACTGAGGTCACTTTGAAACCATTCCAGTACAGGTCCCTTCACCTACCCTGGGAGGGACCACGTAGAGCCCAAGATGCACCAAGTCCCTAAAGCCACTGGGAGGAGATGGAGTCACCTTCCCAGCCATGAGCACACTTGGTCCTCAGGGCACAGCTGTCCAGTAGGCAGGGGGACCCTCAAACAGATGATGAAGAGCTCTTTCCAGGAAGGTAAGTGACCAGCTCCACGTGACGTGGCTTAGGAGTGGCAGAGCCACAGATCCTCGGGACTCCAGACCCCAGGCTCACGCCGACCCCTGGTGCTAACACAGCCTTCCTGTGTCACGCCTTTGGCTCCCTGCTGGTACCATCAAGGTAGAGGTGTCCCCATCATCGAGCTGAGCAGGCTTGGCTTGGAATGTGACTCTCTGGGAGGGATCGTAAATCCCTCGGTCACTTGGGAGAGACGTAAATATTCCTGGGATGATGTGATTGCCTCTGTGTCGTCTTCCTTCCTGCAACAAGGAAAGCAGGGAGATGAGTCCTCAGAGGGACCAAACCTACCGGTGTGACTTCCACGTGTGGCCATCCACCTGCACCAGCCTTGGGGTTGCTGGGGGCCGCCTCTGGCTCTGTGTGGTAGGCAGCCCTTACCTGATCTGCCTGCTGCTCTCTAGGAAAGGCTGTGTTTGGGATTCAAAGTGACCTCAGTGATCACTGACAAAAACAATGACATTAAGCGTCCTCTTTATCTGGGGTTCACGAACCCTGATGTAATATGGACGTTCCATGTGAGCAGGCATTTGTGCACTGGGGGTGGACAGGGGCTCTAGCTTTTCTGAGCTTTTCAAAGAGGTCAGTGGCTATCAGAAGGCCGAGAGCAACTGACCCAAAGGAAGAGAGAAACTGGGGTTCTCATGGATGTGTTCCCTCCTCCCTCCCTAGAGCCCTGTTGTATGCCAGGCTGGGTGCCTCTGCAGCTCCATGCGCCCCCTCCCGAGGTGTCCGTGCACTCAAGCCAACATGGCAGCATGGGGACCACAGGGTGTACGCAGGTCTCTGCTGTGACCATGGAGAACAGAGTGAGATGGCCCGGGGTGCCAGGAAGGGACAGTGGAGGTGGGCGAGCAGAAGAGGTCTCCAGGCCCCTGCACAGAGGCCCTTGGGGAGGGAGGTCATGAGAGGACAGGGGTGAGGGGCAGCGGGGCTGCGTGGAGAAGTGGGGGGATGTTGGGCACGTCCCAGGCCAGTGCCAGGACCCAGTCGTGGCATCAGAAGGAGGAGAGGGAGGTAGGAAAGGAAGGTATTGGGGGTGGGGAGTGCCTGGAGACGCTGACCTCTGGGCAGTGTTGGGGACAAATAGGAGTTTCCTGGACAGAGAACACAGCTTGGGCAGAAGCCAAGTGGTGTGGAACGGTGCAGGCCAGGAGGGGCTCGGCAAGCGTGGCGGGCAGACAGGGATTTAGGAGCTTGGTTTGCCAAGAGGAGCCTGCATGGACGGTGCCCGATGCATAAGTGCATCTGGGCGAGGTGACGACTTACAGAGGGGGACCAGAGCGCAGCATCCCCCTGTGGTTCCACAGTTGCCCCCCGGCTGATTTCACCGAGGCAGGATTTACTGGGGTCTGCAGGATTGGACAATGATGGCCACGTAGCTTGTGGCTGTGGTCACCATGAGGACATTGGTGAGGATGCCCACCACACGTCACCCCGTGGGAACAAAGTTGCTCTCACTGCACGTTTATGTGTGCAGGTGTTTTGAGCCTGCTTTTCTAAACGTATTTATATCTGTCTGTCTGTGCACCACATCACATGCATTTTTGGAAGGGAATAAGCAAGACAAAAATAAACCCAATTCAAATCCTCAAACTTCATAGGGCCACTGGCACCACACGTCAGCAGGCACCCATGTCACTCGGAGCTTTGTCAACACTCAGACCCCTAGGCTCGATCCCAGCCTTCGGGGCTCTGTGTCCATGAGCAAACCTCAGAAGCCTGTGTTTCCAGGGAGTGCCACGCTCCTGCATGTGCCTGGGGCTTTGTCTTCAGTAAGCTCATGCACTAAGTATCTGCATCTGGGTATCGCCGTATTGAGTGATGCTGCAGTCTGAGGACAAAGCAGAAGAGTAAAGTTGCTGTCACGAGAAGCAGCTAAGTGACACCAAACACAAAGCAATCATCATTCCTTGCCTGTGTCCCACACACGGTTCATACCTAAGTTACCCAAATTCTTGCACTGACCAAGAAATCAATGCAACAACAGTTCCAGAATCAATGAATAGGGTCATCTCCATAACCCCAGTGGGACACTCAGAGGATAATTCCTGACAAAGTTATACTCAAAAAATTATAACATACGAAACATACTCTGAGAAATGGTCAGCCAAAGGAGAAACATCACTTGAAGGGGTTACATGGAATAGGGATTCTACAAAGGGCTTTAAAATAATGTTTACCACAGATGTATATGTTCTATAAGTAAAAAAACAGAGTCATTGGTATAAGACCTCTATAGGCAGGTTAAGCAGCAAACTAGAAACAGGTGAAGAGAGACTCAGTGAACTGAAGGCAGTGCTGAGAAAATCATCCAAAATTCAGCACAGAGAGCTAAAGAGGTCCAGGGATGGGTTGCTGGAGATTGAGTGGAGACATTAGAGTGAAGACCCAATGACCAGGGAGATCCAGCCATGAAAAGAAATGAGGCTGAGGCTCCTAGGCATGGGGGCAGACAAGCACAGCAGGAGAGGTTGGTGTGCCTGCTGTGTGGGGAGGTGCTGAGGCGAAGAGGAGTCAGGAGACCAGCCCAGAAGTGGGGATCCCGGGAGCCATGCTCCAGCTGGTGCAGAGGCCTTCCTGAGAGTGAGAGCTGACCATGTGCACACTCACTCGCGGGTTCCCTGCCAAGCGCCCACTGTGTGCCAGGCCCTGTGCTCAAGGCCATGGGGAATGCTGAGATGAATAAAACCCAGACACCTGTCCTCAAGGGCCACTCCTTGAGTGTGCCCACAGACCAGTGCCAAGCTTAATGCCCGAGGAATCAGCATGCTGGCTTAGAAGAGGAAGAGTGGGGTCAGGGAAGGAGGCCCTCGGAGACCTGACAGAGTGAGGCACGGGATGGGCTTCTCAAGGGGGCTGGAGAGCTCTCTGCTCTGCAGTATGGGTGGCAGAGGGGACACCCACGTCTGAAGGAGCACCCAACCTGTGCCCTCCAGGGTCCTCGCCAACCCCACGGCATGAGGCAGTTCTGGAACCTTGGCAGGCATTTCTGCCCTGGGCAGGTGAGACCAGCCGCAGCCTCACCTGGCAGTCAACGGAGGAAGTGAGCAGTGAGCAGGCAGCGGGGAGATCCCGAGCACGGAGGCAGCCACATGATGGGGAGGGGGGAAGCCCTGGGGTATCAGAAAACCAGGCCAAAAACGGGGACAGTAGTCCATGTCCTACTTAGTTTCAGACCCTCGAAGACAAGAGCTCCTCCAGGAGAGCAGCACAGACATGGCTGTCCTTGACACCTCCGCTCACCCACCCCCAGGCCAGGCAGCTTGGGGCAAGCATGGGACATGGGAAGGTCACACCTGGGGACCTTCATCACCATCTTTTCTCTCCCTCTGATCTGAAAGTCAAAGTGTAGCTGAGGATGAGCCGTGACAAGATGACAAACCCCTGAAGTTCAGAGCTGGGGGCTCCGGTCCTCTCTCCTGCGCTGCTGCCCCCACAGCCACCCTCCGCCATCTCTGCCCGGACCACAGGGACAGCCTCCCACCAGGCTCCCCACTTCCAGGGGAAGCATTCCCCTGCGAGGCATTCCCCTGCCTCACACCGCCATCTCTCTCTGCTCCTAGGACCACCCAGACTCCAGCAAGACCCACGGAACACCCTGCGACTGCAGCCAGCCCGCCTCTGCCCACTGGTCTCTGGAATTCAGGCCTCTCCACATCCTGCAGCAGCCTCGGGGCCTCCCGCAGACCCAGCACCGCAGCCATATCTCCAGCCGTGGTGCCAGGTGCCTGGGGTGGAAGGGCACACGCCAGCCACCAAGGGCAGGCACCGCTGGCAAGGGGGCAGGCTCCTGGGCTGTCTCCAGCGTCTTTCTCTTCTTGGCACCAGGGGTTCGGGAGCCTCCATTTCCACCACACTTCTTCAGGTGCAGTTGCTGGGCCAGAAATGCCATGCTCTTCAAGCGTCCCCCATCCAGTGTGAAATCCAGGTCCACCAAGTGCTCTGATCACGGTGCAGGCACAGCATGTGCTCCCTGGAGCTCCCAGCCCTCAGGACAGAGGACAGCCCAGCTCCACAGGAGACCAGAGCCCTGGAGAGGAGATCCTGGAGGCTGCGGCTGAGGAGGGTTATGAGGGAGCCCCAAGAGGCACCTGTCCCGGGGGACCTGACACAAAGGAGTGAGCCTAGGGCTCCAGAAAGGTGGACCAGCAGGGCAAAGCAGGAGAGCCACACGTTACAGGACACAGCCCCAGAGGACACCTGCCCTGTTCTGGCCGCTGCACCAGCCCTGGACAGGACAGTCACATGGAATCCTTGTGACTCTAGGATGCATGTTTATCATGTTCCCATTTACAGAGGAGGATGCTGAGATGCACAGAGAAATGTCCCCAAGGTCCCATAGTAGGTGGTGGCGGCACTGGGATTTTAAAGCAGACATGCCAGAGTCCAGGACCCATGCCAGAGCAAGGCCCAGAGGGACAGCGTGGAAACAGCCCCATGTGCACAGGAAGCTGCCTGCAAGAGCCTGAGAGGCGGGTCCTGAGCAGGGACCGTCTGAACCGGGACCAACTCATGTGATCCCCATCGACAGCACCTGGTTCCAAGGCACTTCCTGGGGGCAGTCAGCACTTTCTGGCAGGGACAGGGAATCAAGTGCAAAACTCATGATTTTTTTTTTCAAATAAAAACCTTCAAGATTTAAGAATCTACTTTGTTTTCTCCATCTGGTCACTAATTTTTATATTTCCAATGCTGTCTGTGCTTCGGATCCATGCTGGGCTATGAACACGTTTGGTGTGAATCTCAGAGTTTTAATTAGCGTGCTAGCTGTTCCTGTGGAGTCATACAGAACACACCCCACATAATTAGATTAGGAAACGGACTTCTCCCCCGAAAACAAGCGACCTCACAGTAATCGTCCCCCTCAATCACGGCTGAGCACGAACGTTCCTGGTTCTCCCCCAGAGCCCTCTCTGCCTCACCTTCAGCAGGGTGGTGTCCCTATTTCTCCAGGGTTTCAGCAAAGCCAATGGGTTCTGCCCCGTAGTCTACCTAATGCGTGGAGTCTTCTGGCCCTTCTCAAAGCGAGGACCCTCCCTGGGAGGCTCCGGGCAGGATGGCTGCTGAACTGCCCTCGCAGGTGTCTCTTGGCACTCAGCACCTCGCCAGGGAGGCCTGCTCCATTGGCAGCTCTAACGGTTGGGAAATTCATCCATGAATGGAGTTAAAATGAGACTTGCTGGGACGTGGGTGGCCCCCAGAAGGAATGCTTCACGTGCCAACTGGGGGCCACGGATGGAGCGGGCGTCTCTACAGACATGCCAAGCCTGGTCAGGCGACTCCCTGGCTGCCCTGCGGTTCCTCAGGATTGGGAGAGAATGCACAGAAGGGCCAGCTTGGCTGCGTCCTCTGCCCAAGGCAGCCCGACCTGCTCATCTGTCACAAGGTAAAAAGATAGAGGTGACTTGCTGCTCTCAGACCCTGGCAGGGCACAGAGGAGGAGACTGCAGAGTCGGCTGGGAAATGCGCAGCCGGCGCTCGGACAAAAAGAGACCTGAGTTTTCACGTTGGCCGATTTCCGTGGTGTAAAACCTCTGTGGATGAGTGCCAGCCACTGAGGTGACGTCACTGAGAAGCTGGGGTCTCTCGAGCCAGGAGCAGCCAGCTCCAGTGCCCCCGTAGGTGGGGGCTTTGGTAAGAGTGTACGTGAGAGAGTGTGCGAGTTCATGAATGAGAGCGGATGCTAATTTTGCAAAAGCAATATGAGAAAACCAAATGAGCAAAGAAATATTTTTATAACTGTAGTAGATACAATGTTATGAAGAAAACCATCTGGGATTGATAGAAGAGGCATTTTTAGCAGAGACTCCAAATTACCTTCAAGGGAATGCACGTGTCCTTACGTTAGAGGCACAATGGGTGGAGCAGAGAGGTCATGTGCCCAGAGACGTGTGCACGCCAGGGTTCTAACAACCCCTGGATTTTGTTTTAATCAGATATGGAAATGGCACAGACAACAGAGGCAACTACCCTGGAAAGAGCTTACTTCTCACAGCTGCCCCGGGCGGGCAGCAGGCAGGGGGCCAGTGGAGGCTGGGTGGGCCCAGCTACCCAAGCGCCTGCTATGGCTTCTGCAGGAAGGAGTGGGCGGGGCGGCCAAGGTGAGCAAGCCTCGGTTGGACGTCCCAGTGATGCTGGGCTCCAGGCTAGGGCGCTGTCTTGACTGTCTGTGCCTGGTTGTGGGGTGACTTGGAAGCGCTGGCTTGGTGTATCAGGCTCAGTTAAGGGGTGACCAGGTGTAGGCCCATGACAGGTGTGCCCACAGGAAGTGCTTCCCACCTCTAGGAGTCAGGCAGCCTGATGAGGCTGGCCAAAGGCACCAAGGTGGCCAAGGGTTGTAAATACCAGAAAATAAAAACACGATTTGTGCCACCAGCTTTGGGCAAGTTGCATAACTCTCTTCCTCAGTTCCTCCACCAGTGAGGCGAGGATACTTTCCCCGACAGGGCTAGTGTCTACAAGTGGATGCTCAGGCCTGAGCAGGGGCAGAGATGACATCTGAGGCTCCAGAGCTTCCTGGGGACAAGGTGGTGCCACAGTGGCTTATACAATTCCACTCAATGACCATCGTTGGACTGTGAGTGTGGGTGGTGGGGGTGACGTGACAGGCAGAGTGTGGAAGGAGCGCACACACAGAACAGGCAACCGAGATTGACTTCCACAGCTTCCTGGTCGCATGGGAAACTAACAACACAGACAGGTAAACACTGGGTTCTCCATACGCCCTAATCTGTGCTTCAATATCAAGATTGATGGAGGCTGTCTCCACGTTCCTCCTCCCACATCCTGGCTTAATTGATGGGCTTGCTCTAGAGTCGGGGGCCTCTGAAT